TCCCAGAAACTTCAGCTGCCTTTTACATTTGGAATGCGTCCTTGGTCATACCATTACGTCCAGGAATCAACCTTGACGCCATATTGGAACTGCTAATAGCGCACATCTACGTCGTATAATGATTAGCAAGAGTGTCTCGCTCTACCAATCTTTACACCTGAGTGGTGAGTTCGATATTGGCCATGGGTTGCACACTTTCGGCTTTATGTCTCATCTTATCAATCTATGCAACTCTCTCCTTGACCTTATTTATTACAAATATATTTTGAATATTTATTATATTTAAAATTTATTGATTTTTATAATGGATTTATTTATTATTTTTAATTTGTTCGTTTGTTTTAGGAAACACCCGGATTCTCGTTTGCCATGTGATACTTTAAAAAATTAATAGACGTTGTCTTCTATTATATACTTATATTTATTTATAGATAATCAAGTTTTTTGTTTCACTCTGGGGCCACTCGATGTAGAGTGTTATATTAAGAAGCAGTTTAAACGAATAGGAAACGGAGATAATGGTTAATCCTAGATTGGAACAGGTTAAAATTGTAGTGATGGGAAAGATATGCCCTTGGGAGTCAGTTCCACTCAGCAGTGGTTAGCTGGAAGAAGCTGTTCGAGTGGAATTGACTTCTCCTCGGTGGAAATGTAGGCTGCTTTTCTACAATATAATTGGCATAACGGGTCCTAGCCGTGAAGGCTAGAACTGGCGGAACCAAAGGAATGTAGTTTGTCCGAGCGCTTTCCATATTATTAACGATAGAACAGTGAGATATTGGCCATATTCTACCTGTATGAGACAGGTTGGAAGGTGGAAAATAATTCATCGCTCAAAAGGACTCAGAGACGCTTTTGAACTCTATCAAGACTTGAAAGTGAAAACCTGGCAGATTCCAAATATGACAGCATTACTTCATTTTCAGCCTGATTTGGCAGGAATGTTAGAGGTAGGCATGTGGAGTCTGTACTTACTGTGGCGCTACAGAGGGACGACGATTTTCCTGCATCTTTGGCGATGGATCGTATGCAAGAGTTCCATTTGAGATCAGGGGTGAAATTAAGACCCTACAGTCTCTCAAGGCACTAAAACTCCGAGAGAACATCCGTGGTTAAGCATTAAATTATTTTATTTTGTAAAAATTACTTTAGACATACACGCGTTTTAAAAATGTACAAGTATTACAATAATTTAATTTCGGTTTTAATTTCAAAATAATGACTTAAAATTGTTTGTAAAAAAAAAAACTAAAATAAATACTTTTAGCGCTTAAATAAGTTTTTTTAGTTTGTTTCTAAATGTTAACATTGTTGTCAGCGAATCACTTCGAACTCCGCCATGGTTAATGGCGAAACAGCAAAAACAAAATCTTTAAAAAAAATCTTTTAAAAATAAAATAGTCTTCATAGAAATTTAAATCGAAGACAATTAGTCAAATTAATGATTAATTAACTCGATTTCGAAAAGAAAATTTCTTATATTTTTTCCCTGGGCGGAGGCTGTGTACCTAACAATATAGTTGAGATTTAGGTATTTTTATAACACATTAACCTACCCTATCTCTTTTAAATAAACCTACGAAATCTTACAAGTTGGATAATAAATCAGCGAAAGTAGTTCGCGGCCTATGGTCAACTCACGATGGAACCACAAGTTCTCATTCGATCATCGAAGTTAAGCAGCATCACGTCCTATCAGTAATCAGATGGGTGACTGGTATAATCAGGATCTCAAAGCTGCTTTCCACGACCCGAAATATGTTTCGACTTTAAATAAACCACAAACGGTTGATAAGCTGTAAAACAGAAAATCAATTATTTTGTGTATACACCGCTAATTTCAAGCTAACGTCATGCGTTTCGGAATATATATAGTATATAGTGTTTCTTTTATAACTATTATACAATTTATTTTATAGTATTTCTTTTATAGTATTATAATTATTATAGTATTTCTTTGTAGTATTTCTTTTATAGTATTATAATTATTGTATTTCTTTTACAGTATTTCTTTTATAGTATTATAATTATTATAGTATTTCTTTTATAGTATTATACTTATTATAGTATTTCTTTTATACAATTATAATTATTATAGTATTCCTTTGTAGTATTTGTTTTATAGTATTATAATTATTATAGTATTTTCTTTTATAGTATTTCTTTTATGATATTCCGTACATGTTAAATGAAAATCAGTTGTATGTTAACAGACCAATTAGAATATCTGATTTAAATATCTCCGGCTCATTAAATTTCATTAAAACATATATTTCTCGATTATGAAGATAGGTTTCCATTAAATATCAGAGTTTTAAAATGTTATAGAGTGACATAAATAATTTGATTATAGTTCTGTTTGTCCATATTTTAGTAAGCACGACGGTTACGCCTTGGCAATACCTTAAAAATAATGGCCTATTCCGCTTTTATCGGAAAAGACATATCATATACGCTACTTGGTTTCAGTAAGAAATTGAAAGAAAAAAATGTTGAAAGAAAATGTTTAATGTCTGTTTCAGTGAAATGGCAAAAATCAATTTCATATCTCATTTTTACTCCCTTACTTCTTAAAAGAACAACCGGCATTTATATTTATTTCTATAATGGACTATTTCGTTTTTGTAAACACTATGAGGCTTCAGTGAGAAAATGAAAGAAAGAAGGGAAGATTTATTTTACCCCTTGTTTCATTGAAATGGTAGAAGTTGTCAATTTCAATTTTTTTTTTTCATTTGTACTCTCTTACTTCTTAAGAGAAAAGCCAGTATTCATATTTGATTCCTACAGCAATATTTTGCTAAAGATATTAAGCTCAAATATTCAACGATGTGATAGGGAAATTTATACGGTTATTTTATTGTTGTAGAACTCGTTATTAGCTTATCTAATCATAAGTTTAAGAATTAAGATTCATCAGAAAAATAAAATAAGAATACCGTGAAATTTTCGATTGTCTTTCTGGTATAATATACTAAACTAAAGTATCTTGTCAGACGAATTGTTAATGCACAGATATAAACACACACACACACACACACACACATATATATATATATATATATATATATATATATATATATATATATATATATATACGTCTTACGAATTTGTGACTGAAGGGATAATTCCGAGGATGATATAAATCCAGGGAGAGCTCAATGTAGACTACAGAGCATTATAAGGATAGTAAGAAAATGGTCTGAAGAATTAAGCACCGAGATGTTCACAAAATAAACTATAATCCAAATAGATAATTAAAGTCTCCGTTTTCTTATTATCACTCGGAACGGTGGAGTAATGGATAGCGGCTTGGATTGAGGAATTGGAGAGCCGAGTTCGATTTCCAGTCGAATTCATTACATTCACTTACGAATCCTCTTCTTCTCCCTCCAGCTATGGGTAAATAGCAGGACAGACTAGGTTCTATAGCCTTGGATGGCAACTGATCTAGAAGAACAACAACTCTGAATTCAAAACCTGCGGAGGTTCGTTTGGGGACCTTGTGGCACGTAGTGCACCAGGTCTCTGTATTCGGCCCTTTCCTGCGCGAAACCTTCACCACTATAATCAAATCTCATGTGCTGTTGTCGGGCTGTCGGTTTCGTAGGAACTGATCTGATTGACCCTCATACGTCGAATTCGATGGGAGAGTCGAGTATATATATATATATATATATCACTATATATTATCCCTATATATATAGTCATCATATAATCGGTTATAAACTTATATATATGACTGCTGAAATAAATTTATAACCGATTATATGATGACTAATTAAGTATTTTGCTTTGGATTATAAGAATTTGGAGGAGATGATAATGTTTTTCTGATACAAGTCGTATTATTTAACCCTCTTATCTTGGAGGGGAAGAAGTGGATTCATGCCTTTCTCAATAGCATTTGCACGTAAGTGAATGTAACTAACCCAACTGAAATTCGAACTCGGTCCTCCGATTTTCAATTCTGGTACGTTATCCGTTACAAAATTCGCACATGGTATTCCTAAGCGATCACCCATTTAGTTACTGACCAAACTCAACGTTGCTTAACTTCGGTGATCTGATGAGATGATGTGGGGGTGAAGTAAGTACGTAGCCAATGGCGCCAAACTTTCTACTGAATAGGTTTTAAAGTGTATGTACCAAAATATGTTTGTGTATTTTTATTTAGAACAAAAAAACAAAGTCTTTAATAAATGCCACGTCGTGAATTTTGTTTGTTTTATTTTTTTTTTTGTTTGTTTTTTTTTCTTCTCGTTCTTTTCTGTGTTGCTGTTTAGCTTAGATGTTGAATTCCCTTTTAGTAACTGTAGCGACTACAATTTATGAACACCCCAATGACTAACCTTACTCTCGAAAAGACTCCGGGAAAAATAATCTTAATAGCATCGAGAAACGTTTTAAAAATCACATTTACTGGTGATACACTCAAAATTGCACATTGTTTTTATCAAGACGTTATTTAAACATCCCACAGGGACAACGCGTTTAGTTTTGTATTTGTTTTGGGTTTTAATGTTTTCGATTTTTCTTCTCTCGTTCTTTCGTCGTTTATTCTTCTTTTTTTGGGAAAATCTTTCTTTCGTTATTGTCTCTGCTTTCTTTCTAGGTATGTTTTTTTCATTCTTTCTGATTTTGTTACAGATTTTTTTTCCATTTTTTTCCTCTTATTTTTTATCGTTTTTACCGTTTCCAAGATTTCTTTCTTCCAAAATTTCGTTCATACTTACATTTCATTTTTCATTACTTATTATTTTTCTTGGTTTGTTTTCTCTTTCGTTTCATTCCACGTAGCTTTTCTTTCTTTCTTTCTTTCTTTCTTTCATTCATTCATTACATTTTTTTTTCATTTTTCCCTTTCTTGGTTTGTTTTCTTTTTCATTTCATCCCGCATTACTTTTCTTTTTTTTCTTTTTTTTTTTTTATTCTTTCTTTCGTTACTTTTTTTTCACTTTTCTCCTTTTGGGTTTGTTTTCTCTTTCGTTTCCTTCCGCATGGAAGAAAGAAAGAAAGAGAAAAACTCTTTCTTTCTTTCTTTCTTTCTTTCTCTCCCTCTCTCTCTTTATTTCATTCATTTTTTTTCACTTTTCTCCTTCTTGGTTTGTTTTCGCTTTCGTTTCGTTCCACATGGCATTTCTTTCTTTCTTTCTTTCTTTCTTTCTTTCTTTCTTTCTTTCTCTCTTTCATTCATTCATTCATTCTTTCTTTCTTTTAATTCCCCGCTTTTCATATCTTTCATTCTCTCTCTCTCTCTCTCTCTCTCTCTCTCTCTCTCTCTCTTTCTTCATTACTTTTTTCACTTTTCTCTTTCTTCCTTTATTTTCTCTTTCATTTTGTTTTGCATGTCTTTTCTTTCTTTCTTTCTTTCATTCTTTTTTTTTCACCTTTCTCCTTCTTTCTTTGTTTTCTCTTTCGTTTCCTTCCACACGGCTTTTCTTTCTTCCTTTCTTTCTTTCTTTCTTTCTTTCTTTCTTTCTTTTCAATTTAATAATCACTGCACGAACTTCTTTCTACGTCATTTTTTCCCTTAAGAACTGTTTTGTGTCGGCGTTTTATGCAATTCTATTATTTGCTTGTGCGGTGTAATGGTCTTCGGGCTCAAACCAGAGAGGCCTTTTAATTTGCTCATTATGTACGCGCCGTAGTAAACATTTAAACACGTTGCCACGAAAGAAAAAAAAAAGAAAAAGAAATAAATGAAGAAAAGAAGACTAAACTATATTAAATGAGAAAAGCATTATTTTATATTTTGGGATTTAAATTATTTTTAACATCCTTTCATAGAAACGTTTTATAATCCTCCTCTTCAAAAACTGCCATGAACTTTTATGTTCATCATGTCTTTTTGTCCGACATTATGTTCGGCATTTCTTCTGTAAGACAGAGAGAGTGATAGGAAGAGGAAGGAAAATAGCTAGAGAATAATAGGAGAAAATAGGAAATGAGAAGGGAGAGAGAAAGATAGAGAGAGTGGGGAAGAGGAGAAAGAAAAGTGACCATCGGAGGAAGAGAAAAAAAAAACGAGTAACAAGAACAGAGAAGAGCAGAAAAGAAACTTAGTTTTCTCTCGCCATTATTTCAACCTCGGGGTTTGTTATTACGAACTCTTTCTGGTTTATTTACTAAATGTTATTTTATTTATTTATTTATTAAGGTGTATAGATTTTCTTTTATTACACGCTTAAACTTATTCCCCCACTGAATTTGTTTTTCGTTATCTCGTAAAAGGATATTAGGTAAGTTGATAAGCGGGGAAAATCGATAAATGAAACTAAACAGATGTCAAAAAACTGCTCCAGGATACTCAATGAAAAAAAAAGACATCAGAACCGACACATGTTGATTCAAGGTGAGACAATGGCTGCTGTTTATCAACATGGAGAAAAAAGGCTTCCATATAGGCAGCAGATATTAAGCCGTACTGTGATAGCATCTAATTAATGGCGTGTACTATTTCAAAATAGATCCCTGAAGTCAAAGGAACATTAATGTTCAAATTTTCTTTCAAAGCATAAATAATTTACTAAACATACTGGGCTAAAAGAAATATGTACATATTCCTCAAGACTCAACTCCCAATGAATATGCGTGTGAAAAGGTATTTGCGTACAGATATAGGCGAGTTTTTATACGAATGAGGATGAAAACAAACACGTATATTAGTTTTCAGTGTCAGCATCTCATCCAAAACGTGTGTTTTTGCTCGATCTGCAAACTTTATATTTCATACTTCCTTCTAAAAGCTGTTTCTATTATTAGTTTGTTGCTGCCACGGAGCTCATCAATTCTATCCTTGTGACAAACATATGACAGATATATTTCGTGACGGCAATGCTGCATTCTTCCTATTTAATGTAGTCCCCTTGGAAAGTGAAACACTTATCGCAGTGCCTCTTGCAACTTTCAAAACTGTTTATAAATCACTATGTATCGCCTAGTTACGTTCTCCTTAATCTCGTTCGCAGTCTTGCGTTTTTCGTTATTCTTGGTTTTGGCGAACGATAAAGTAATAGATTAAACTGTATCTTGAAGTTATACTTTCTTCTTAACAATCGCAGTTGCATAACCAGTTTAAAATTGGGCCGTCCTGGGTATGACGATAAACTACATCCAACAGCAAGGTCTCTGATCAGGAGGTTTTGAGGAGTGTGGAACCACCTCTTAATCACTAGTGTTCCTAGGTCCAACCTGACCCTGGGTGGTAGCACCTGTTAGGGTCCCAGCTATGGGTAAATAGTTGACCCTAAACTGGGGTCAAAACATGAAAATGTAAAAATAGGTTTTAATACCAGCAATATATTTTTATAAGAAATTATTACCAGCAATACATTTTTGAAGGAAAAAATTATTACAAGCAATAAAAATTTTATCGGCATTGAGATTGATATGCCGTAAAACAAAGCAAAGCAAAGCAAAGCAAACCAAACGAAACCAATTAAAATTGGCTTTCACAAAGGACAGTGTTTATGTTGTCACGGGTGTTGAATACTTGATTCCGTTGACCGATGATTTCGCCAATACTTGAATTTTAGGGAGGCAAAATATAGCGAAACCTTAATTTGTTAAATATAATTTAAGTAAAATGAACATATCTTGTAAAAATAACATTAAAAGGTATACGAACTTAGACAACCCTGAAATTCCCGCCATCCATTCACTACAGATGTCTCTCTCCCCAATTTCCAATTCCGAGCTGCTTTTTCATTACACTATTTACACATGCAAGCTTACAGCACCTAGAATCCCTAAGCTGTCACCCTTCTAGTACTGATCAGATTCTACGTTGCTTAACTTCCGTGATCGTGCGAGAACCATTGTTTAAACCTGGTATGCCCGTCAACCGAGTTCGCTGTAGGTAGATGAAGGCTTCGCCCCAGGGGGAAATATCCAAAAGTCGCAGAATGCAGGAAATCAAATCCGTATTGTAGGCTGACTAAAAATGTTTGGATGATGAGATCTTTTGAACATCATTTGCGCCATCACGACGATTCATTGATCTCCTTCATCGGTCATTATGAATACGACGGTTACACAGGACAGAAGCTATTTAAATGGCATCCCACTGGGTAATAAGATAGAAGAGTGTGTGTTCACACGTACAGAAAAGTCTCTTCCGGTTGTTAACCAAGTTAGATCATATCCGAGCAATTTGGTTTGATACTTTCCACAAAGATCTCTGATTTTACATACTTTAAAAAATAAAGTTTGTTTTTTTTTTTGGTGGGGGGTAATAAAAGATCGTGCAGATTACACATATACTGATGAAAAGTAAAATAGTAACACCTTGAGGCTTACTGTCAGTACCGGAATGGCTAATCGTTTTGAAATTCTGAATACAGTAAGCTTGGATATACGGGTGCTGCAATGGACTGTAAGAGGACATTGGCCCTATTTAAACGTTTAATTTCATTATTAATTGCATAAAATCACAGGATGATTATTTGGGGAGACTATTAATTCCATAATGCTTATTAAAATTATCCGAAGAGTACAATAAATGATCGAGAAAAAAATAACAAAAAGAAACACATTAAAAATTTATGTTTCAAACTAATAAAATGAATTTAAATCTAGTTTCAAGGAGGATCGAACCCAGAATTAATTAGCCAAGATTCAGTAAAATTAAACAAATCCAAGCGTCCCAGCTATATCCATAATGTGTAGCTCGAATTGCTTTGATTCTGAGGAATTAAATTTGACAGGTTGTTTACATTATGCTGTCTCTCTATAATGTGTGGGTTTTTATATCGAAGAATGGCCCAAATTCTTAAAAAAACAAAAAAATTAGTAAAAACATGTTTTTTGCTAAATACCAAGCTTGGATTTGTTTATGTTGATTTGTTTGCGTCCCAAAACACAATTATCTTTACAGGAAGATATCTAGGAAGATTCTAAAGAAAGAGAGTACCATATGTTTAATTAACAAGGTCTCCTAAGATTAAGACGCTCGACGTGGAGAAATGAGATAAATCAATGTGAAATGCCTTATGGGAGTGAGTCATCAACATAAGTGAGAACATCCAAGGCCCAGGGAGGCAGACGGAGACGAGCCCAACAAGAAAGATCACCAGAGATTCGTTCCGGTCACATTTCCCGTGGCTGGAACGAAAACATTAAAAAAAAAACACAGACGAAGACGGGCCCTGAAAGAAGGCGGCTCGATTTGGCGCGGTATTGCGCGTAATGCCGCCGTCGCTAAGAGAATGCCGTGGCCGGAGCAAAAGCACAGACAAACTCACGACAGAAGAATATACCGTATCTTTTGCTATGGATATTCTATTGATGCATTAAATTGTACAACAAAAACATTTATGCATCAAGACACCTCATGATTTAATGATTTTTGCCTTAAATGAAATATTGATTAAACATGCGCTATGTTTAAAGTGGATTAATCTGTTTATGTTAAAAACAGTTTCTTTTACTTCGTTTCCTTACGATTTAAAGTCAACTGATGGATGAACTGAGTGAGAGTCGATTGAAGAACTGAATGAGGGGAGAATGAGTGGTTATTATTTTAGCGTTTGCAACTACATTTCTCAAATCACCATCTTACATTAGAGAAATTGATTTTGCATTAGATAATAGAAACATTTTAGTATCTATATTTCTGAGATGAAGTATTATGTACACTATTTACATTATCCGGACTATTGTTCTCATCTTTATTGCCATATTTATCACAACGTTTCGGCCCTTGTGATCCTTTGTATTTTCTCTGATAACCCCTGCCGTCTATATAACATTAGGACAAACTTGAAAAGCTGGCCGACACTTCGCAGATATCTCTCCCGAGCAAGAAACCCCCATACAGGAGAACATGACTAAAGACTGTTTCTACGCTATCCCGTGCAGCTGCGAAAAGAAATATAAAGGAGAGACAGGTCACCCCCTTAAGGTAAAGCTTCAAGAACACCAGAAAGCTGTAACACGAGGGGGAGTGGAAAAATCAGGCGTGGCTGACTACATATGGAGAGAAAAGGGAGATCATTGCCCTCTGTGGGATCAGGTTGAAATCATAGACAAAGAACACCACTGGAAAATTCGTAAACTTAAGGAATCAGCACATATTCTAGGCTACAAAAATCCCCTGAGCCGACCAAGCATAGAAATGAATACAATATGGGAACCAGTAATAAGGAGTGTCATAGAAAAGCAATAACAACAACGGAGTTGCAATATGAGCTCTGGTAAAAACATGAAATGATAACAGCAAAAAGATTGCAATATGAGTACTGGTAAAAACAGTTTATAATACCCAGAAATTCATACACAAAGGACACATGGCAGAGTGGATTAAGGCGTTAGTTAGATCCAGTGACATGACCCAAAGAATGTGAGTTCAATACCTGGAGAACTTTCAAAGGGAAATTAACAGGAGATAACTGATAACTGACATCCATTAGACATGGCACGTGGAGCTAGAACAGTCTACCCCAGTTAGCGAAATAAAGGGTTCAGTTCGACATTCCAACAACCTGAAGAAGGCCGGAGGGTACAAGGGCCGAAACGTTGTAATAAATATGGCGAC